ACGTCAGAAGTCCGAATATGCGATGGTAAGCGAAGACGGTAGGCATTCGGATTAATCTTCTCGAGGATCTCAACAGGGCCAATCTTGCGGGCCGACAGTTTATTATACTCATGCGCCGAAAAGCGGTCCTTAGTCAGAACCGCCCAAACGAAATCGCCCACCTCGAACTCAACATGGCGACGGCGTAAGTCAGCATGCTTCTTGTAACCGGCGGTCACAGTCTCCAAACGAGCCCGGGTAGTCTCGTGAACCCGCCGTAAATCCTCCATCAACGTCTCGGCTCGAGGTTCGGCTGCCACGGCCGACGGCAAGACGAGCAAGTCCGCGGCCCCCCGCGGACGGACGGCATAGACGACCTCAAACGGGGAAAAACCCGTCGCACGACTACGAGCCGAGTTGTGTGCAAACTCAGCCTGAGGGAGGCGCAGGTCCCAACTCTTCAGGTTCTCACCAACCAAACAGCGCAACAAATTCCCAAGAGACCTATTGACCACCTCCGTCTGTCCGTCAGTCTGAGGATGATAAGCGCTACTAAAGTCCAACCGAGTGTTGGCCAGACGCCACAAACTTCGCCAAAAATGGCTAAGGAACAGCGTATCACGGTCAGAAACAATAGAGGACGGCAGACCATGCAATCGATAAACCTCACGAAAAAACAATGTCGCCACATGAAGGGCGTCTGCCGTGCGCTTGCAAGGTATAAAATGGACCATTTTGGAAAAACGGTCGACCACGACAAAAATAGAATCATTACCCCGCTGGGTACGAGGCAGCCCCAAGACGAAGTCCATACTAATAGCAGTCCACGGACGCGACGGAATCGGCAAGGGCCTGTACAGCCCGGCATTGGACGCCGCAGCCTTAGATACCTGACACGTGCGGCAACGCTCCACAAATCGAGCCACATCGCGCCGCAAGGACGGCCAAAAAAAGGAGCGACTGACCAAGGCAACAGAACGGTCGCGCCCCACGTGCCCCACCCCATGAAGGTCCGCGACCACCTTCAAACGCAAGCTACAGTCGGGAAGACACAACCGTGTGCCATAAAATAAGAAGCCATCAGAAACAATATAACCATCAACGGGGCCCGAGGCAAGGCGGGTGAAAATGGGCCCGAAAAAAGAGTCCGTCGCATACAGCTCCTTCAACAAATCAAAGCCGACAACCTCCACCCTCATATCAGTCAACAATAAAGAACGGCGACTCAAGGCATCAGCCACACGATTCGAGGCGCCCGAGCGATGCTTCAGCACAAAAGTGAATTGCTGAAGATAAGATGTCCAAGTAGCATGGCGAGAAGAGATATTACCTTGAGAACAAAGGTGGCGAAGAGCCTCGTGATCCGTGAACAAGACGAATTCCCGCTAAAATAAATAATGACGCCAATAATGAACGGCCCGAAACACAGCATAAAATTCGACGTCATACGTACTGTAACGTAAACGCGGGCCCGGCAATTTCTCGCTAAAGTAAGCGACAGGGCGCCCCTCCTGGCTCAATACCGCACCAATCCCGACCTTCGAAGCATCACACGAAAGCTCAAACGGGAGAGAAAAATCCGGAAGGACCAAAAGTGGTGCCGAAGTGAGTTTGCTCTTGATGAGATCAAAAGCAGCAGCAGCCTGAGGGGTCCAAACAAAGGACTTGCCGTGAAGGCAATCTGTGATAGGCGCGGTAATCGAACTAAAATGCGAAATGAAACGACGGTAAAAAGATGCTAACCCGTGGAAGCTACGCGCCTCCGTAAATGAAGTCGGAGTCGGCCAATCCCGAATAGCGGCGACCTTGCTGTCATCCACGCGAATACCCGCCGCTGAAATGACAAAGCCCAAAAAAAGGACCGAATCGACCACAAAAGAGCACTTCTGAGGCGCCGCATAGAAGGACTCGGACCGCAGGATTTGCAAAACCGAACGAACATGCTCCAGATGCTCCGGAATAGAGCGACTATAAATGAGGATGTCGTCGAAATAAACGACGACACAACGGCCAATGAGGTCACGCAAGGCTTGGTTCATCACCCGCATGAAGGTGCTCGGTGCATTTGAAAGGCCAAACGGCATGACCAGCCACTCGAAAAGACCTTCCCGAATTTTGAAAGCGGTCTTCCACTCATCACCTGGCCGGATTCGAATCTGATGATAGCCACTCCGAAGGTCCAGCTTGGAAAAAACCGAGGCACCATGCAACTGATCAAGTAGGTCATCAAGTCGTGGAATAGGAAACCTGTAGCGAAC